CGGTATCCCGGTTCTACAAGACACTTCGACAAGTTAAAACAAATCCAGCAACACCGCCCGAATGTGCCGACAAATCCCGATAGGAGCTACACATATCTCGTTCTCAGGGCACACTCAGATGAGCCAGACGTCGGGTAGGCCAGCCCAGAGTTGCCCCTGGTAGCCCCGGACATCGCTCGGTTGGACCAACACTCAGAGGAGCACTGGCCCGGGGGGGTTAAAATAATGATGACCCTTGGGCGCGCGACCTCCAAGGGAAAAGAAAAGGCTAGGTGGCGAATTGTAAGACCAATGTTGGGCATTGCTGGAAGAGTTTTACTCAAGGCGAACTGTCAAGGGGTTCCCATTATTACCCAACCGCGTAAGGAACGCAAAATCCGGGAACATAACACCGATATGACGGAAACTAGGACGGCAAGAGTGGAACAAAACACCAGGCATAAGGCCGAGCCTTCCACCCTTTACCAAGTATATAGATGCATTAATTAAATAATATATATAGTGATATCCCAACAAGTAAACATGTTCCAATAAGGAACAACATCTCCATGTTCCAACAAGGAACAAACTTCAATCTTCACCTGCAACTAACAACGCTATAAGAGGGGCTGAGCAAAACGGTAACATAGCCAAGCAACGGTTTGCTAGGACAAGGTGGGTTAGGGGCTTGGTTCAACAATATAGGAGGCATGATAAGCAAGTGGTAGGTATCGCAGCATAGGCATAGCAAAAGAGCGAGCAACTAGCAAGCAAAGATAGAAGTGATTTCGAGGGTATGGTCATCTTGCCTGAAATCCCACAAGGAAGAAGAACGAGTCCATGAAGAAGACAAACGGACGTAGTCGAACGGTTCCTCACAAACACGACGTTACCAGAACCAACCCGAAGAAGCAACACCGGAAAGAAGCAAACAACATAGTAAACAACCAACACATAGACATGGCATGATGCACAAACAATTATGATGCATGTCCGGTTTAATGAAGCATGGCATGGCAAAGTGCACAAACAACACTACAAATTAAGTGGAGCTCAATATGCAACGGAGTGGCATATTGAAGAAAACACCACATGACTTATTTAGTTCTCTCTCGTTTATGTATCCAACAAGATTAAATGTTGTTAGCATGGCAAGAGAGTGAAGCAAATGAAAACTACCTATCTAGTCAAGTTTAAATGAGGCCGGAAACAACGAACAACAATTCCGGAAACTCCTCATATGCATATATTAGGTTTGGTACTGTTCTGCCCTAAACATAATTTTAGAGTTGTTAAGCATGCAAAACAAGTACACCATGTTGAACTAGGCATTTTTCTACCCCATTTACATATAAAGTTTATTAAATTCCGAGTTACAGTTATTTAGTTATGAATTAAATCATATTAGCATGGCATAGGAGCAAATTTAATCAAACATCATTTTAAACATTTTAAACATAGATGAAAGTTGTAAATTATTAAACTAGATGAAATTCTAGTCAAGTTACATATATGACATGTTTTAAATGGATGCATGGTTCATGAGTAATTATATGCATGAAGTTAGAGGGTTTTTTGCAAATCTGTAATTCTCTGGATAATTGGCAAAATTCGCAGGACCCGAAAAAAAACATATCGGGCCGAATTAGAGCTACAGGCCGAAACAGGACATGGGCGCTGGGGGTTTCTCACCATGGGTCATGGCCCAGTTGGAAGCAGAGGGAGGCCGGCGGATCTGGCGAAGAGGAGCTGGGCCTTGGCGCGAAGGAGGCCGACCCGCGGGTGCTCAGGTGTCGTGGATCGACGGTCAACGCGGCTGGGACGAGCGGGCGTCCTCTGTTCGGCAGGGAAGCGGAGCAGCGACGACATGGACTTGGCGCCGGCGAGCAGGGGCGTGAGTGAGGCCGGCGAGGCGGCAGCGGGAGGACTGGATCCGCAGGAAGATGAACGAGAGGGCAGCGGGCGACGAGGGTTCATGAGCAGAAGAGAGAGATGGTTAGAGGAGAAGGAGAACCAGGGGAAAAGGAAAGGGGCAAGGGGCGAGTGGACCTGCTGGTCCGACGACGGGGTCCTCGGCGCTCGGGAGACGGATCCGGGCGGCGGGACATGGGGCGCCGGCGGCGCTTGGCGCGATGCAGGGCTCCGGCGGCGCGGTCAACGGGCAGGAGAGGCGGGGTCGACCGGCTGCTGCGGTGATGTCCACGGCGGCTCCTGCGGGCAGCACACATCGAGAAAGAAAGAGAGAAGGATCAGAGAACGGAAGGAGAAGTGAGCCAGGGAGGAAGGGAAAGAAAATGGCGCGCGACGGGGCTGGCCTGGCGATGGCTCTGCAGCTGCTGCTCGCCGGTGGCTCGGTGTCAAAGCCGACAGGAACGAGGTGCTCGGGGAGCCCCTCAGGCGCGAGAGGAGGCTGGAGTCTCGGGGTCGAGCTCTTCTCGAACGGAGCGAGGCTACTGCGATTGATTTGGAAGGGATCGGGAGGAGGCTCACTGGTTGGGTGGAGAGATCGGGAGGGTCGATGGGGAAAACGAGGAAGGTGGCGACGGCATGGGGATTGATGGATGGGACAACTCCCCTAGGTTTTAGGGCTTGGTCTTTAAATAACAAGTGAATTTTGGGTAGGGGTATTTGGTCCCTCCGATTAAATCGGACGGTCCTAGATAAATAGGCTAGGGAGACCAAACAAAGAAAACGGAGATATTTTGTAGATGTTTGGGGATGATCCGGACACGATGGTGACGACTGTTCGGGTCGGGTCCGGGACAACTTCTCGGACGCGCGCGCGAGGAGGGCCGCGTGCTGACGGGAGAGGTTAGGCTGGGCCTGGCGGTGAGATGTAGTGCAGAAGGCAATGGACTGAGAAGAGAGAAGAGAGAGACCCGGCGACTGTTTCCGGAGACCGAAAACGTCCGACGTTAGACCGGCTATAATGCCGCTATAGTTTAACGGTTGGGCTATCAAACGAACTCCGAATGTGATGAAACTTGGCAGGCGGCCTACCTACACTATAATAAGGCCACACGCCAACTTTCAACCCAATCCGAGAACATTTTCCGGCCACTTATAAAATAATATTTCGAACATGCCGCGGGCACGTGCAAGGGTGTCTGGACTCAGAACGGACAACGGAAGGAACGAGGAAACTGGGACGGATGCAAGTTTTAAAACATGATGATGTAATGCACATGATGACATGACAAGATGCAACACGCAAGCAAATGACATGGCAACAGCAGCGAATAACTCGAAGGCACCTGGCACATCGGTCTTGGGGCGTTACATCATCCCAAATGACAATGATCCTACGCATATTCATAGTTGATGGATGTGATGCCGGATAGGGATAGGCTAGGAGCGAAACTACTTCACAAACGATGCCTGCTGGACGATTCATGCACGATAGTTAATCCACCGGCTGCGTTGCACCTAATCCTACGCATGGATGGTCCGATTTGCAGTATCGTCCAACAGGTATCGTGTGTATAGCAGCACTCGGCTAGGAGATATGGTCATAGGGGAGGGGGTCGGGGTCTAGTGCCTATTCATTGTAGGCAATGGCAAATTTTTTATTTGCTCTGTTTTCTATTGCATTGGGAGTTGGATACTCTTCTGCTCGCGATTCATTTGTGTGGACACCTACTGCTACTCTTCTCTTAGAGTTAGGACAATCTCCTTTTTCGTACAAAACCTAGTGAGCAGGTGGCCAAGACACTGAGGATGCTTGTGGACATGTCGTTGTTAGTGTGACAGTGGCTAGCTTATCAAGGTGATGATGTTACGCTTTTATGATCTGAGCAAACATTATGAGTTGTTGTTTCATCCCCTATTCTCGGCTTGATCAAATACCTAGGCTCTAGGCGCCTGGTTTGCCACCGTTTGGTCATCTAACATTCTTTTCTTGTTTTGTGAGAACGGTTTTCTTACGTTCTTTTTTATGAGGTAAAAAGATTTTACTAATTAAGAGAGTGCATCATTACAATACCATTTTTAGCGTACACCATTACAATACCTACAAATGGGTTCTGACAATACATCCGGGAAAGAGCCTATCGAAACTGCAGTGTATCCTTCTATGTGCACAAACTGAGTCGTGAGGTGATTGTACAATGGTATAAGGTGTTGTAGAAGATTCCATGGCGTATCTTCGAATTAGCTAGCAAAGCTGAAATATCTATCTATCATCTACTCCCTCCGTTCTGAATTACTTGTCACAGGTATGGATGTATCTAGATGTATTTTAGTTTTAGATACATCCATTTCTGCAACGAGTAATTTGGAACGGAAGGAGTAGACATCATGGGTCGGACCCCGCCCTCGGCGGCGTTGACTGCCCACCCATGTTGCGAGGGCGACCACTGACGGCAAGGGTAGCGACAGGGCAAGCGGATAGAGAACGGTCGACGAGCTTGCTAGCGTCTGGGAGGATCAAGGGCTGCTGGCGCCATGGCTTTCCTTTTGTTATTTTTTATTAAAAGAACAGTTAGCGAGAAAGGATACTGTGCGGCTATAATCACGCTAATCATATGTGCATGGCGTGACCGTCATTTTGACCGTTCCTGTCAGAGAAGACGTTTAGTGGGAAGAAACGTTCCCGTCGATGACAAGGTGCCTCCAGTGACTTTGTAAATATATTCCTCTGTTCAATTTTTTAAATATATTCATAGAGGTAGGATATGCGTGTGTGTTCATAAGGATGAGTGTATGCGCGTGTATATAAGCGCTTGTGTCTGTACCGTGTCAAAAAAACACGAATATACCTAGTTTTTTTAACATATATTCCTCCGTTCCATAATATAAGGTGGTTTTGCAACATAAAATAACTTGCAAAACTTGGAGGAGAGAGACGAGTTTTAAGGAGACGGCGGCGGTCAAGTTAAGCGCCGCCGACGAGACCACCACCACCTCCATCCAACCAAACCAGTGGTCAAGCGGAGGCGTTGGCGGACGCGGGCGCCTCCCCCTCCACCTCCATCCCCTTGACGACCTAAGCAAGCAGCATACACCAATCGCCGATCCGGGCCATGGACGCCAACTGGCGGCCCACCCAAGGGCCGGACCCCGCCGCCGCCGTAGGCGATTGGCGCGCCCAGCTCCAGCCCGAGGCGCGCAGCAGGGTCGTCAATAAGATGTATGCACGCTCACGCTGGGGACTCGCTCTAATTTATTCGATTTGGTGTTCATCCGATTTCCCCTTCCATAGCGGCAGAAAAAAGAGGATTTTTTTTACATCGATCCATCTGATATTTAGCTTTGATCCACCAAATAGCGGCAGCAGCAGATTCGTCCGTCGTCGATCTAGCTATCTCTCAGTTTCAGCGCCTCTGCTTGATTCCTGGTCAAAATCAATCCCACGCTGCTTTGAATCCAGCTTAACCACTTCATCAACTCTGAACAATTTAACACAAGTTTACTGACCGGGAGCTGCAGATTTGATGATCACCTAGGGCAAACCATTCTACTAGTTCTGTTCTGAAACCAGGGTTTCTCGTGTGCTAGCTTCCCCAAGGATATTATATTATGCACATGATCACAAGTCATGACTCCTTCTCCTTGGTCCTTTTTTAGCAAAACATAAATTACACCTTGCTTGCACGAATGGAGGGAGTATATACGAGAAACTGTTGTGTGCGACAGAATATGTCTCTAATTCTTAACTATATATATTTTGTCGCACACAACAGTTGAGAAGCAATGCATCCCCCGCACCCGATTTATTCACATTTTGTATTATTATTATTATTATTATTATGCGTGTAGATTGGAGACTCTGAGGAAGATCCTGCCAGTATCGGTGCCAGACGAACTGATCGAACTTCAAGAAATCGCCAGGCAATTCGAAGACAAGATCTACACTGAAGCAACCAATCAGGTACCTTCTTCGGAGCAGACCACACATTAGTAATGGGCTCCAACTGGCATAGAATAATTTTTACATAACGTTTTAGTACCTTTTTAGGAGTTCCCACCCTAACAATCATTTATCTCGGACCGAACATCAAATAATACCTTACTTATGCTGAATATGTGCGGAATATTTCTGTTCGTGGCTTATTTGTGGCAAACCTAGGAGCAATCTGCAACTCTTCATCATTTTTGCCTAACTCACTTATGCTGAATATTTGTTTAGTTGATAAAGTTGGGGCACACTGTCACTATTTTTTATTTGGATTTTCTGTTCATATCGCTTACTTGAGGCATTGTGTTTCTCTGCTTAGATGACATTTTTTTAATTAAAATGTTAAAAGCTGAAACACCTTCTTGACCGTGCTAAACCACTAATCACACAGGAACTGTTGGTCGCAAGCCACCATTAGTAATTTGGTATAGAACTTTACATCATTTTCTTTTGTATTACTCAGTCTGATTATGTGCGGAAGATTTCTCTGAAAATGGTCTCTATGGAGACGAGCAGACAACTGGCTCCTGGAAATGCTCAAGTGATTCCAAATCAAAACAACTCAGGTAAGGTACCATATACGGTAAACTGAGTGTTGCACAATTTATCATCTTTGCTTGGATGTCAATTTACACTCATGAAATGATTAAGCCGGCTTATGGGAGAGCTGGGGAGGTGGCGGCTTATTTTGTAAGCCGCAAAAGAACTGGGCCTAAATCTAACTTAGTTTTATGTTGGAGTTAGTTTGCAATGCTGCAACCGTTAAGTTACAGTAACATTGGACCATCTTCAACACTTTGTAGAATTATGTTTCTTCTCTCCTTGCTACTACTTCTCAAATTAGTCAGTCAGCTCTCAGCTTGGTACAAAGGAACTAACCATTAGTTGTTAAATCAGTTGGTCAGCTCTCAACTGTATTTACGTTGACTCTATCTTATTGAAGAGAATTGCAAACACTTGTTTGCAAGCAAATCTGGTTGCCAGCCCTTTAATTGCTTTGGTACATTTATTTTTCTCATTGAAAATGCAGGTCTTAATTTGATCTGTAAGATGCCGCTTTCAGCGCTTTGTGTGCCTGTTATAGTTCCACAAGACGTATTTGTTCACAAGATACTTTCTTAACACACATATGGTACCTTTTCTGAAACAGCTCCTGCACTCCCTCCACAAGGCGGAAATCAAGCACAGACATCAGCCATTCCTTTGATGTCTGAACAACAGTCCCAACAGAATCAATTGAATCCCGTACAACAATCTGTGCAATCATTACTCCAGCAACCTCAACAAACTGTTGGGAGGCAGCAGCGACAAGCACATCCCTCCATTCATCAACAACCTTCACTGCAGAGTCAGCAGCTCAATATTCTTTTACAGCAGCAGCAGCAGCAGCAGCAGTTGATGGGACACCAGCCAAATTTACAACAGAATGGTGCTGTGGAAATGCAGGAGCAACAGAGGCTACCAGTTCAGTCAAATAATCTTTTGAATGTGCAGCAAACACAGCAGATGTTGAATCAGCAGTATATGCCTCTGCATCAGCCACATCAATTGGGCTCTCAGGCATACATGGTGAGTCTACAGCATCAGCAACTTCTTGGAACTGTGCCTAATGTGTCAAACATGCATCGGATGCATATGCTACACACAGAAGCTCAGCAACCACAGGAACAACAGCATGCTCAGCAGCCACCAATGCAACCTCAGTCTCAACACAACCAACTCCAACAGTCGCAACAGCATCTTATGTCACAATTCCAATCTCAGCCTAACCAACTACAACATCAATCAGGGATGCAGCCGCAATCCTCCATGCAACGACGACTTCAAGCTTCAGGAGGCATGCTCTTGCAACAAAATAACATGGATCCGATTCAGGCACAGAGGGGCCTTCAAGAAGTTTCCTCTAGTAGTAAGTTTTCACATATACTTTCTTTATGAGATCCATCGTATGCTCTTATTGTTCTCGTCTTCTTTTTCTCTCTGTTCTTATATCCATCTTCCTGTTGTGGCCTTACATTCCTTGTGCAGTTTAAACCAGCTTATCGATCTTGTCTCTTATCATTTTCGCCTTACTTGCATAGAAAAGTTTAGGGGAAAATGTGTGTTGTTCATCAGGACCCCACACCCTTACTTATTGTGCTAACAGTTCTGTTGGACTATAATACAACCTGAATTCTTGGATCCTAACTCTTATTGAACCCTTAGGGCACTCCCGGCGCATTGTATCTTCATTGTATCATATGCATTAAATGTGTGTTTAGATATAACTCTTCCAATGACTTATATCTTAGTGTTATATCTAATGGAGCTGCCATTTAATATGTTCTGTGGAGAAAAAAATAATTATCCTGGGTTACCTGATAAGAGCTGTATCTTCATAAGATACAACATCTCTCTTTTTCCTCACTAACTAGGCTTCTTCCCCAATGGTATTTGGACGTTTGCCTAGGTGGCATGTTTTAGATGCAACGGGCATCATTGCACTGAGTTTTTTATGAAGTTAATGTTTATGCTACATGAACTAGCTTTAAATCTTTGAAACTTCTTTGAAGATGACAACGAGATTCATAATTCAGATGCAATTATATGTTTTTTGACAAGTGAAGTGCGCCACAGGTCCTAGAACTATCGAGGGGTGTGAAGTTAGTCCTAAAGCTTCAAAGCTTCATTTCACTCTCCTTTTGCCTAAACTACGGTAGATAGAAGGACAGCTTGAAGATGGAATGATATATTGCGATGTTTAGTGATCAGTACTCTGTAATCATCATGTTGACTAAACTGACCCTACTGATCTTCTGTGACTTCTGTTCAGCACATTGGGATTTCTTATTTTCTGGGAAAGTGCTACTGTGCAATAATCATGATGACTATAGCTGACCATATTGATCTTATGTGATTGTTTGATTTGGTTCACAAGTTTTCCAATTTGCCCCTGCATTCTATCCTACAATGTACTTGTAGCTGCTTATTTGTTGGTTTGTTCATTGTATTGTGATACTCTTCGACTACCTTGCTTTTTGTGCAGCATCTGCGGACTCTACTGCTCAAACAGGTGATGAAGATGAAGATGCAGATTATTGGCAAGAGGAGATATATCAAATGGTAAGACATAATACTGATATCATCCTTTTTTGGCACTCCCTTCCTTGGAACTTCCTAAAATTCGTAGACAGTGGCCCCTAGAACAAAGAGGTTGAGATTGGCCTGATCTAGATTGTTAAAAGATGAAACAACACGTGGGGCCTTTTACTTTTGCACTTCATGTTGCCCATCTCCTTTCTTTTTGGTCTGTATTCCAACAAATTCCTCTTCTGGAGTTGAAACCGGAATTTCATACAAGTGTGTAGATGCACTACATTCTGGCAGTCTTCTTATAAGATAATTTATTATATGTATACGGAATTCTGTATGGAAGCGGAGGATGGAGCGTAGAACCATACAGAGTATCTAGATGTAGTAAAGCCTCAAGGCAGTTAGCAATTTTTTATATATTTAATGGGCATCATAGTTTCTTATTTTGTTTTAGATTTGTATATGCTTCTAAAAGCTAGTTGAAATATCTTGCCAGTGCCATATTCGCCGACTTTATGGCAAACCACGGCCTACTAGCTAGCTTTTCTGTTTTAATCTCTATATAGTTTCTGCACCAGATTTATGTGTTTATGTTTTTGACAGGTCAAGATCATGAAGGACCAATACTTTGCAGACCTCAGCGAACTGTTCAATAAGGTATGTGTGAAGCTACAGCATGTCGAGAGCATGATACGACCTCCGATTCCATCCGAGCAGTATGATAGAATGAAGAGCTTTAAAACGATGCTGGAACGTATATTACAAATGCTGCAGATTAGTAAGAGTATCATCCAACCTGCTATGAGGGACAGAGTTCCTCAATACGAGAAACAGATTATCACCATCTTGAATTGTCTAAGGAAGCCAGTGCAGCCACAAGTACAGCAATAGTTTCAGCAGAGCCACCTGCAGGACAAGCTCTTCATTCTAGCATTTCGCATTAGCAAAGTTATTGTAGAGTTTGGTTAGAAGACTGGTGGAGGAAGTTTCGGTTTGAACTGAATTATGGTTGCTGGGAAACTTTCAATTTTCTTCTTCTTTACTACTCCCTCTGTTCACTTTTATAAGACCTTGAAGACATTTCAGACAATATGCAAAACAGCCTATTTTGAGTTGTCTGAAACGACTTACAAAAGTGAATGGAGGGAGTAATTGAGATCCCATCTGTATGCACCTGAACCGTGCTTGAACTGATGACTGGGGCCGATCTCTTGGAGAGAGGCTCGGTGAAATAGGCATGTCGGGGCTAGTGCTTAGTTTTGATATAAGACAGGATCGCATGACCCTTTACGTTTCTAGGGCAGTAATAAAGCCATTTCAGAGGAAGAGCAGCTTGTTACAAAAAATAAATCTATATTCACACCATTGGTTCAGCTCTGGGTTATGGCTTGATTGGCCTTTAAAATGCGGCGGTTATGTAATCCAGTAGCAGTCATGTCCCAAATTTGCTCCAGCAATGCTGTTCTGTCAGTGCAATGCTACTCCAGATATTTGTACACATTTTGGGCCTGCCCAAGTAGCTCCTTTCCGGCTTTGGGAAGGTTCTAGAACCTCCCAGACCGTTTTTTTGTGTTTTCTTTCGGGGTTTTTTTCCTGCTTTTTTCATTTTTTTTATTTCCTTTCTTTTTTCATTTTCATTTTTTTCGTTTTTAATGTTAGTTTTTTCCCTATTCTTTCTATTTTTCTTTCCTTTTTTCCTTTTCTATTTTTCCTTTTTTTCCATTTAAAGATTTAGCGAACATTAATTTATGAAATTGTGAACACTTTTTACACATTTTTGAATAATTTCGAATTCAAACATTTCCCTAAAATTGTGAACATTTTTTGAAACTCGTGAATATTTTTAGAAATTTCAGAACAATTTTGAAAATTCATGAACATTTTCTGTTTGACGAGCATTTTTTTAAATGTATAACATTTTCTGAATTGATGATTTTTTTTGTAATTCACATTTTTATGATTTTTGTGAACTCTGTGTATAAATTCATGGTTTTTTTAAATTAGTGAACATTTTGTTCGAAATCATGATTTTTTTAATACGTATTTTTTCAAAATGACAAACATTTTTTTAATCCACAAACATTTTTTAGAATTCACGATTTTTATGAAATTGAGAACTTTTTTGACTTCTTGATTTATTTTTAAAAAGGGAAAAAATATAAAATGAAAACAAAAGGCAAAAAAAACAAAATGGAAAAAGTAGGCCGCGTCTCGCCCAACTCATGGGTAGTCCTAAAAGGGGCACATGAGGAAGGGGATTGCGCGTTGACTGGATCGCGCGGCGTATAGCGTGCCATATAGGAGCTCCGCGCAACACAAAGGGGAAAGCGCGTGTCATGACCGGGCACACAGCAACGTGTGCGTACGTGCCAAAGTTGACGAAATCACTAATTAAGGAATACATTTTTAAAGGTAATTCTCATATTCCTAGGTTGTGACAAGTGGCACACATTGTCGCAACCTGGCAGGCTCGGCTGGCCCGACCACCCTATGCTAAAGGAGAAGCTCTCGTCTTTGACGTCATTTTTCCGTAGATTCATTTATTCAAAATATTTCATCTCTTAAATTGTGCGTCCAAATCATGTATGATTTTTGTTGTTGGATTTCTCACGTCGAGATCTCGAAATTAGATTCCGTATTAATAGGTTTCGATGAATTACCTTTCACGAATAAACCCAACAAAAATTCAAACCAGAAGCACGGTTTTCCCCACACTTCTTTTCCTTTCCGAGAGGCACAACTATGCCTCTCGCGGAAACAAATTTGTGTCTTCATGAGAAGCAAATATGTGCGTCCCGCGAAAGCAAGAAAAAACACACGTTTTTTCCTTCCTTTTTCGAGGGACTCACAGAAGCAAATCTATGCCAACTACTCAAATCAAAGGTCAAAGAGATAATCACAAACATTTTCAACAACAAGAAAAGAAAGATGGCAAATTTTAGCATGGTCCCTCTTACCTCCCCTTTTCACATGAGAGGTAAGAGTTCATAATAGATCTGAGCCATTGGTTTGATTAAGTAGTGGTCTGGTTAACTCTTACCTTCTTGCCTCATATATGATAAGAGGCGGTAAGAGGAAGCATGTTAAAATTACTCAGAAAAGATACAAAGGTACTTCATTCAAATCTCTAGGAGAGATGGGTCTTGATGATTCACTTGGGGAATTCTTCTCCCTTAGGAGGCCTTGAAACCCTAATGGTTCTTCCCTTGGGAGGCCATGTACTCCAATAAAGCCTACATCCTTAGGTGGCCTTCTACTTCCATGGAGTCTTCTCTCTCAAGAGGAATCACACAGGAGAAGATACATGAGCTAAGTCTCTTTTCTCTCTCTATTCTTAGCTAACCCTAAAATGGAGGAGGAGGAGGACGAATATGTATATGCCCAAGGCATGAAGGGGTAAGTGAGGGGTGAAAGGGTAAAGATACATAGTCGATACCCAACTCTTACACGCAGGTAAGTCTGGACACCCGAGGTATGGAGGCTCGGGGACCCAGGGTGGCCAAAGGAGGCACCATTCCTCACTTGGACTTCCCTTGGGGGTCAACTTGGCCTTTGTGGATTCTTCTTCACTTCTAAGTTTCCCTATTGGATGGTGTAGTTGTTCTCTTGCATTTGAACTCCTCGACATGTGTGAAGCACTGCTCAAATCTAAGCATGCATGAGGGAGGTAGTATACCATCCTCGAATGCACCAAGTGGACATGTGTTAAGAAGAAGATTCACCCTCGGATATATGAAGTAGATGATGCGTGTGTCTCTTAGTAACAAGGCACTTGAGAGATGTCTATGGAATATGTTTTTTCCGAGACACGCTACAGACGCAGACACTCATATATACACGCATACACTCACTCCTATAAACACACACGCACACCCTATCTATATGAGCACCTTCAAGAGAATTGAGTCAACATATCATGTTGAGATTGACAATGTCACCACAGACGCCTCATAGTCGATGGGAACGTCTCCTCCCGCTGAATGAATACAGGAAGATGATAAATACATGAAGATGCGTGAATCAAGATTTGAACCCTCATGGGCTCGGAATACCACTATCCTCTAGTAGGCCGTGATGTGTTAAATTGCACACCATTTATTTAATTCCTGGCAAAAATTTCTGGCTTGCGTATCTCCTAATATTCTAAACATTGTATAACATAAATGATTAATAATTTTGATTAATAAATTCTATTGGATAGAAGCATAATAGAAATGTGGTCGTCCACTCAGACCTTTGAGTTTTGTCATACACAAACTAAACGCAGCATAACTTAAGCTAGAAATAACAAGGTTCCGTAGCTGGAGTCCTTAGATGGACACATGACTAAGAAATAACGAATTTTGCAAGCATGATAGTACTTGCAAGTGTTCAGACTTTGAGCCAAAGCTGCTGCCTACTACTCCCTCCGTTCGGAATTACTTGTCAAGGAAATGGATGTATCTAGAACTAAAATACATCTAGATACATCCATTTTCGCGACAAGTAATTCCGAACGGAGGGAGTACTGTACATGCTTCCATTTCCTCTAGAGAGAACATCCAGCTGCCTACAATTCCAGACGCAACAATCAGAGAAAAATCAATCAGGGCACATCCTCAACTTTACTAATTTATTACTTCTTCTCAAACTCAGCTAGCCAAAATAGTTTTCAACATGGCAATCGCCACGAAGCGTGCCAAACAGACAATAGAACAGGCCATCATTATCCATTACACACCATGATTTCCTCCTTAAGGTGCCACGGTTCTCTCCCCTGGCAAAACGATCACCACACGCCCCTAAAATTGCATGCCCCCAGGTTGCTACATATCATTGCGCTTCTACATCATGCCCTGGGGCATCCCGGCGGGCGCGGGAGCCTTCTTGCTCGGCTTCTCCACGACGATCGCCTGGGTGGTCAGGACCATTCCGGCCACCGACGCTGCGTTCTGCAGGGCGCACCTCGTCACCTTCGCTGGGTCAATGACGCCAGCCTCAACCAGGTTCTCGTGCTTGTCGGTCATCGCGTTGTAGCCGAATTCCCACTCGCTGTCCTTGATTTTCTCCACGATCACCTCCCCTTCGACTCCGGCATTGTGCGCGATCAACGATGCGGGTGCCACTAGAGCCTGCAGATCACCAACATAGTATCATCTGTTAGGTAAAAAACAACAGTAAATGCTAAAAGCTCCTACTAACTTGTGAATGTTGTTGGATGAAAGCTAAATGGGAAAGTTAAACTGCTAACAGCTCTTGCATGAATAATATAATCAACAAATCAATTGGTTGACACTACAACTACCGCATGGCACTTATATTTGCAGTATAGTTGTTTTCATTTGGAGTAATACCTTCTGAATGATATCAGCACCAAGGCGCTCCTCAGGGTCATCCAGCTTCTCCTTGATAGCTGGTACGAGAGTCGACAGGTGAACATAGGCCGCACCACCTCCAGGTACTATACCTTCCTCAATGGCTGCAAAAGTGGCATTCTTGGCATCCTCTATGCGGAGCTTGCGGTCCTCAAGCTCCGTTTCTGTTGCAGCTCCAACCTTGATCACAGCAACTCCGCCAGAGAGCTTTGCTATTCTCTCCGCCAGCTTCTCAGAATCATATGTCGAGTCTGTCTGAGAAAGCTCTCTCTTCAGCTGCGCAATTCTAGCCTGGATCTCATCCTTGGTGGCAACATCTGCTATTATGGTTGTGGATGACCCGGAGATTGTCACCTTCCTGGCTATGCCGAGCTGCTCCACTGTTGTCTGCTCGATCAGTTGGCCAAGATCTTTGGCTTGAAATTCAGCACCTGATACATGAGTATATTCCAGATTAGAGCATTAAAGAGGTGGAACCCCAGTTGCAGAGCAAACAAGGGTTGTTTTTGTTTTTAAATTATAAACTGGAAACTTGAA